TTTCACTTCTCTGATGACAGGAAAATTTAGAATTTGGAGTTGAGAAATTATGGAGGAGAGTAAGCACAAGAACCAGTTCTAGAAACTTTGTCCTGAAACTGTTTTGATGAACCCCTGAGCTGCTTTTACATTCTACATAGAATAATTCAGAATTCTTGTGTTTTTACAGAGTAGAAACAGTTTAATAGACAGTTTTACAATGTAGAGACACTTCAATAAATGGCTGTTTCTCATAAGTGAGCTAAGAATATGTCACAGTAGGGAGTGGTTGTTATCTAAGCAACTGTTAGCAAACAGAATGTACCCAAGTTAAGACAGAATGTTAATTCATGGGTTAAAGTAATAACACTTTGAGTTGAGACTTTCAGAAATATATAAATAAACAAAACTCTGCTTTCGTTTAGCTAAAATTTGTTAATTTAATTTTTTTTTTAAACACACTGGGAAGTGTTAGGCCTATTATCAATTAGTCAAAAAACATTCAGTAAGCACCTGTTATGTAACAGGTACATTTTTTTTTTCTTTTATTAGCTTCCTTGAACTTAATTTCAGTGAAAAATTGAAAAATTTCTTCTTAAGGGTTATTTACCTAAAATCTCAGAATTAGTTTGCAGTTTAGTGTATATTCTCATTTAAGTTGTAACATGCATTTTATATAAGGGTAACTAAATTCCTTATATTAACTGATATTTTTCTCCTGTTTCAGAAAATTAGCAGGATGTACTCTTTTTATCACGGGTGCAAGCCGTGGCATTGGCAAAGCAATTGCATTGAAAGCTGCAAAAGATGGGGCAAATATTGTTATTGCTGCAAAGACCACCCAGGCCCATCCTAAACTTCCAGGCACCATCTATACTGCTGCTGAAGAAAGTAAGTTTTATCATGGCAGTGACCTTTTTGGTGTAGTGTCTTTAAAAAATGAGCTGGGAAGCATCATCTTGAGATTAATCAAAGCCTTCCATAGAAATAACTAATTGTATTTGTATAATGATTTATGTTTAAAGAATCAAATCATTTTCCCCATAGCAACACTGTCAAGTAGGGTAGCCCCATTTGGCAGATAAGAAAAAATCTATGATTAGAAAGTTTAAGTGACTTACATATATAATAAGGGCTGGAGTCATGACTTGAACCCTGCTCCTTTGTGCTTTCCAATATACCATCCTGTCTTTCCATCACATTTGAAAAGTGCCTTAAAAATCATATCTCCTAATATGTAATTATAATGATCAAGCTTGATCCTCAGAAGAGATCAAGAGCATACAACTTCCCCTCACCTTCCTTCTTTTGCAGAGGCTATTGATGTGTGAAACACTGTACTGTTAGATTCTATTAATGTGTTGGTTAGTTTTGCTGAACTGCTTTTTTTCTTTTTTTATTCTTTGTTATAAGGGATAGCTCTCTGGGTGAGGGAGACGTAGGGTTATATTTAGAAATAAAGAAGATATGTATCAAAAGATATCAGTAAAAAGTATTAATGAAAAAAAGTTGTGGTCCCATCTGCTTAAAGATGGAGGCCTGAGTTTTTTTTTTCAATTTTAACACCTTTCCAAGATAATAGTTAATATTCGTTGAAAAATGGGTAAGTTTCTTCTAAAATTGTCTTAAACTGACTCCTTTCTTTTCATTAAAGTAGGATTGTCTTTACTACTAATCCTCCTAGGATAATCCTAGGAGAATATACCCCTACTATATGATGAAGTCACTGGTAAAATTATAAAGTCTACTTGGGTGTATCTCTTTTTTTTTTTCCCTAAGGAAAAAATGTGAATGCTTTTCTTGTTTTTCCTTTCTAGTTGAAGCTGTTGGAGGAAAGGCCTTACCGTGTGTTGTTGATGTGAGAGATGAACAGCAAATCAGTAATGCAGTAGAGAAAGCTGTACAGAAGTTTGGAGGTAATTTCTTAATTACTTGCTAAATATTGGCTAAACACCGGGAGATAGCTAGAGCTAGAGCAGTTTTATCAGGAATCATTGAGTCATAGGACTTCTAAATTAGAAATTTTGTAGCATCCCTGGAGCTAGGTATAGCTTTTCCCACGTACAGTACTGCTTCAGAAAATGTTCAGTTGTTCCCCACTGCACACAGGGTAAATTTCAAACTCCTTAGCTTGGCATTCAGAGGTCTCTGCAGTCTGGCCTTTACCTCCTTTCCTTCACAAACCCTCTGCTTTTTGAAAGTGGTTTCCTCCCTAGTCCCTGAACACATACTCTCCTTTTTTACCTTGGTGCCTTTCTGCCTGCCTGAAATGCCTACTCTTCTTTCTTCTCTATGTATTGAAATCTGTTCCTCAAGGCTTAAATCTCACCTCTTCTCTGATCATTACTGAAAGAATTGGTTTTTTACCTTCCCTATTCTAAATAATAACTTATATTTATACAGAGCTTTATTTGCAATAATTACTAATGTTTATAGAGCGCTTTCTTAATAATAATAACAATTTATAGAAAGCTTTCTTCACAGGGATGCCTGAAATATAGTTGGAAGTATTATTATTCATACATTATACATGCAATTTAGCTACAAAGTGATTAACTTGTCCAGTGAAAGATTCTAATGACTCTAAAATCTAACACCATTTCTGCTTTTGTTATTGTTGTTCAGTCATTTTAGACATGTCCAATTCTTCATGACCATATTTTGGGGTTTTCTTGGCAAAAATATCAAGTGGTTTGCCATTTCCTTCTCCAGTTCATTTTACAGAGGAGGAAACTGAGATGAACAGAGTTAAGTGAGTTGCCCACAGCCACACAGATAGTAAGTGTTTGAGGCCAGATTTAAACTCAGGAAGATGAGGTCTTTCTTATTCCAGACCTGGCACTCTACACCGGGCCACCTAGCTACCCCAACCCCAAAACGTAAAACATATACACCATTTTTGCTATACCATTTCAAATTCCTAAAGCATTTACTTGGATCTTATTTTGTGCTGCATTACATTTAGAGTTTTTTTTTTTAAATGTGTTTCTGTCTTTATCTTCCAGCTATATTATAAGATCCTAGAACTAGGGAACCATGTCTTACACTCTTTTTTTTTTTTTTTTTACTCTCCCACAAAGCCTTGCACAAGCTAGGTACTCAGCAGTTACTTGGTAGAAGCAGTGATGACAAGGAGGCAAATATAGAGCATGCCCCAAATCTGAGACTCTTCCCACAGGTTTTATGCTGCCTATTTAGGCAGTTTCTTCAGTGCCCTTTCCTTGAATTATTAGTGGAAATGTCAACGGAACTAAACTAAAGTTTCAGGAACTAGTCCAGGATAGAAGATTCCTAATTATACCACTGACCAAAAATAAAAATTCTCCATTTGAAAATTAGACTGGGTTCTCTAGAAACAATAAATATTAACATACTCGGGGCAGCTAGGTGGTAGAGTAGATGGAGCTCCAGCCTTGGAGTCAGGAGGACCTGAGTTTAAACCCAGCCTCAGACACTTGACACTTATTACTTGTGTGATCCTGGGCAAGTCACTTAACCCCGATTGCCTTACCAAAAGGAAAAAAAAAGATTAACACACTCAAATCCTGTCTATATGGGAAGCATATTTCCAAAGAACTTGGTAACTTTGAAATATGTACCTGGGGCCTTTAAGTCTTTAGAAAATAAAGAGAATTGGGGGCAGCTATGTGGTGCAGTGGATGGAACACAGGCCCTGAAGTCAGAGGACCTGAGTTCAAATTGAGCCTCAGACCAAACACTTGACACTTACTAGCTGTGTGACCCTGGGCAAGTCACTTAACCCCAATTGCCTTAAATAAATAAAGAAAAAGAAAATAAAGAGAATTAACAGAATTAATAGTCTCATTTAAAACCTCTTCTCCAAATTAAAGGGGATGTGATGAGAGAGGGGTACAAAATGAGAGGTAGAAGATTGTCATGTCTCAGTGTACTTCATAATTTTGTCTACAATTGGACCTGTGTACCAGTCTTTATGGTACAGTTTTGTCCCCTGCAGGGAAGCAGATACCTCTTTTCAGAATACGAGACCCACAAGTGAAAAAAAACTTCAACATTCCAGCCTATAACATCAGCTAGGAAGTAAGCCCTCCATTTAGAATTGGTAACTCAAGAGAGAGGGCAGCATTATACCCTTGGGCAGAGGGTGAGTGCCTGTATTGGGTACTACTGTGGGGATCTTTGGATACCAAGAAAGCAGCATGAAGATAGTATAAATTTGGAAGTGTGTTGGGGATGAGTGGGAAAGAAGAGGAGGCCCAGGACATAAGAGAAATTCAAAGAAAAAGTAGGCCTACCTAGGACTTTTGTGGTTCTGTTCCACTGAAAATCATTTCAGTGGAGCTTTAGTTCAGCTATTAGACATTAGCTTATTTACCTTACTATGTCAATATGGAGTGTCCTGTGTAAGTTAGAACAGTGGTCACCTATGTGTGCTCATGTTAACTTGAACCCATGTGACTAGAGGTCCAACTAGGAGTAGATTTAGTAGTAAGATTTCATCTTGCTCGCAGGTGAAGTTTAAAGCATTAAAATGAGATATTTTATTTTAAAAATAGGAATTGACATTTTGGTAAACAATGCTAGTGCGATCAGCTTAACCAACACACTGGAAACACCGACAAAGAGAGTAGATTTGATGATGAGTGTCAACACCAGAGGAACCTATCTTACGTAAGTGGGGAGAGGAGAAGGTGGTAAAAATCTCCTGGTGTTTTCTTGGAGGAAATATTTTAATTACAGTCTTTAAACCTGATTAATAGTACTGTGTCAAATCTAGTAATTTCTGTCACCTGTCATATCTAATGAAAGCTTAAACACTATGCTGAAAGTGAATGGTAGCAGTGTCTTCCATAGATCTGATGAGGTGGGCTGTGCTCTCTTATTCCAAAGGAAATTTTCCATCACTATATCAAAGGTCCCTGGGCTTCTGAGTAAAATTTCTAGTTATAGTTAGCTTTAGATCAATCTATATACATGGATGATTTGGGGGATTATTAATATCAAACTTTCAATCTTAGTCTGATTGCTTCTGGCCACCAATTGCAATTTTGGCCATTTTGCCCTGCCACTAATTGAATAACACATGCTTAGGGAAGGTAGATAGCCAAAGCAAAACCTAACTGGAAAGGAAATGCATTCCAAACCCAAATATAAATAATTTGAGAATTTTTAATTAATTAAATTTGCCAAGCCACTGCTTTGTTAGCACACAGGATTGACTTCATTGTACATTATTACTCATTATCTTTTCTATTTTGAAAGTGACTCTGCTGATGGTGTTTGTGTGCATAGAGTAGTAGTATTTGCATGATAGGACTGACCACACTAATGTATTAACAAAATCTTTTAACATGAAAATTATACCTGAAACTTGTCCATAGGACCTAAATGTTGTTCATTTGTCTTGCATATTGGCCTTATGAGCAACATATGTATTTTGATGAAATTGAACTCTATACCTTCTGTAAGAACATGACTTCATGCCCATCTGCTCAGCTGTTGACATTGGTAGTATTTGTCATCAGCATGTGACTGATGTACTTCATGTATAAATAGTATTATTAGTAATATTCCCTTCCTTTAGTTTGACACATGACTTCTACTTTGACCCCTTCAATGTCATGAGACTCCTACTGTGATACTCCTGTTAGCTACATTATGGTAAATTTGGCTTCAGTGCTTGGGATGAGGCAGTTACAATCCAAAGCCTTCACACTGGGATCTTTGTTTTATGCTTACATACTTAACTTAGCATGTGGCATTGCCAGGAATCTTGTCCAGAAACAAACTGAAACACTGGTAAAGAAACCAGCTTGACACATTGATTCATTGAACTCCATCTAGTTCATCTGTTACTGCAGAATTTCAGCCATATATACTTCCCCCGTTGCCAATTGCAACAGTTTCAATTTTTGTGGTTCCAGTAAAAATTTTGAACCCAGTTAGGAAGAGGCCTAAGTTCAGTTAACTGCAGTCTGTCAGCAAAGGTTGTTTCTTATCTTGTGTGTATGCTTTCAGAGAGCAGTTATTGACCTACAAATAGTGCCTTCCTGTTGTTTCAAAGGCTCTGAAGATACATCTTGATTTCTTTGAGGTAGAAGCCTAATAGTGTTATTGCTGGGTCAGAGGGCTTGCACAGTTTAGTAATTTTGGAAACATATTTCCAAATTGCCTTTTCAGAATGGCTGGACTAGTTCACAGCTATAACATTGAATTAATGTAGTATATATACATTTAAACTGTGTTTCTATTAGTGGTGATATCACTTAACATAGCATTCCTTGTGATGAGTTCAAATTTTAATTATACCTGATACTTGGATACTTGGAATTGCTGTGCATACTATGTACAGACTGCGTTGGATTATTGGAGAGAAGCTATTTTTTTTTTGTGTCTATGAAAAACTGTCACGAGTCAAGTCATTAGCACCATGTTTTCACCAGCTATAGTCTCATCTCTACCTGCATCCAAAGTATGAGATCGTAGGCTACTTGGTCCATTTTAGTGATAATTTATTTATTATTCTCTAATATATTTAGAGAGAAAAATTTAAAAATATGAAATTCCTTATCTTGACAGCACAACAGTACAGAGATGTCAGTGTGGATTCCTCCTTAATCTTTGGCTGAGAAAATGACTCAATATCTCAGAGAATATCACATCACTAGTTCTTTATTTTAAAAAAATTCTTTAACTTCCACTGTTATCCTTTGTTTCTTCCATCCCCTTTATTTTTTGGTCTGCTTCTACCCCCTCTTCCTGTTCAGCAAGCCATTGCTTGTTATAAAGAATGCAACAGGAAGAGGGGAAAGCTAACCAATACATCCACTATGCCTAATCTTATATGCTATATTACATACTTACAGTCTCCCACCTCCATAAAGGAAGGGGGGGGGCAATTCTTTTTTTAAAAGGAAATTAAATTACTTGGAGCAGTCACTTCCTATTCCAGCTATTGTGTCTCACTGCTCTCTAATATTGAGGAAATCCTGCCTGGGTACCAGTTTAGGGAGTAATTGCATGTTGACAGCAGTAGCCCATGGCAGCTATAAGTTGAATGACAGTACCTTTTGCTTTAGTCGAACAAGTTGGTTTTTATTTTCCTTAAGTTCTTGCTTTCCGTGATAACTGGGATCCAGAGACGTGAAATGACTTGCCCAGATTATATAGCTAGTAAGTGGCAGAAGAGAAGCAGACAGTCCATCGATTTTGATGCTAAATCCAATGCTTTTTCTGCTATGCCACACTGCTTTTCTAAAATGGCTAGGAAAGACCAATAGATTATTCACTGTCTTTGAGATTTGAGGTTTACTATAATAAATTTAAATTAAAATTATCCATACTTACTTAAATAGTAGTCACCCTGGCAACATTATTGAATCTAGGTGGTGTCTTCTCCATGGGATTCCATGTTAGGAACAGGTACACATCTTCCCTTCCTTTACTTCTCTGGGAGAACAACCCTTTGGTTTGTAGCTGCAGGGACACGGGCTTATACACCTGCCTTGGTGCACATTATAGCATGTCTAGCCCTTCTAAAGGGTGCATTGCTTTTTGCCGTTCTGTACATCTGGGTTCTCTGCTGCAAAGGAAGCATATCCTTATACTAGCTTTGAAATACGCCTTGTGCAAGTTTGACAGTTGCTTGTGAGTTGGTTTGGGAGTTCAATCTTTGAGGAGGAGAAAACGAAGAGAGAAGGAATCTCTTCTCAACTTTTAACTCCAGAAACAGTATTACTTAGATCCTCAGATATAAAAAGTCTATATATCTTGAATATGGAGGGGAATATATAAAGTCCCCCATTTTTACCTGATTTATATTTTTATTATTACAAAAGTTGATTTGTTATCCTTCACTTGAGTCCCTGGTGTTTAGATTTTTAAATGTGTGCTTTCCCCTCCCCAGAATAGGCACTTCCTGTCATTTTTTAATGCGAATCTTATTATAGAGTACCATAGATTCTATTTTTCTGTATATGTTAAAAGTAGCATTAGTATAAAAAATAATGCTTATTATTCTATAAAAGAGAATGTGTTGTGAAAAGTGTACCTGATGTAGTGAAGATGGGAGTGAGGGATGTGTAGTTTGACAAATCAAAGGAAAGCCTATTTTTGTGCTTTTAAATCAAATGAGTTCTTTTTTTTTATGAACATGAAAATTGATTATGTAGCCTGGGTTAGTTTTCTTTTTCCCACCAGATGATGTTTTGAAGTTCACTTTCTCTCTTTAAATTAAAAAGTGGCCATGATTGCTTTCTCCCCAGTACAACTGAAGCATACTTGAAAATCATACATGTTATACACAAAAAAGCCTGTGCTTGCAATAGAAAGTTTGAGTCTTGATAGTTTAAAAAAAAATTATAGCTAACTGACTAAGGATTTTATGCTTTTAGGAAAAAGGAACAGATGCTCATTTGAAAATAGAAGTGGTCTAGATCAAAGACTTGGAAATAATTGTAAAATATAAGAACCAATGTGAGAGAGGTTTAACATGGCTTGATTTTTAAAAATTGAACCAAATTCTATCATAGCATGAATAAATTGTCTTTCTCTAGGTAGTGAATTAACTCTTTCAATGCAGTGGTATATTATTTTGTAAATTGTAGCTGTAACATTGTATGATTGCTTCACACTGTTGAGATGAAAAAATTCACCGTAATTTAAAATGGAAGAGGAGACATATATTTTTGGACATGGTCAGTGCAGGAATTTGTTTTGCTAGAGGCACAGTGAGGAGAGAGACAATAAATGCTTGTAAAAAATAAATAATTAAAAAATTTACCATACAATAGACAGATTGCTCCCTAGTAGTAGTTCAGGTAAGACTTGTTATATTCCAGTAAAAGCTCCTGAAGAAGAAAAAATAGGAGATTGAACATAGCGTTATGGAACATGTTATAAAATATTTTCTTTTAACATTTTATGGATGAGGTAACTGGGGCAGAGAAGAAAAATGGTTTACCCAGGGTCACAGAGAAGTAGCAAAGTCAAAATTCAAACCCAGGATTTCTGACTCCAGATCTGATGCTCTTTCCATTACCCAACATGTTGAAGCCATGTGTAGTATATAGGAAACCATATTCGCTTTGCAACCTTATAGACTCATAGAATCATAAACTGGAAAAGATTTTACAAATGATCTAGTCCATTCATCTCAGATGACTGGGGAAGGGGAAGGGGGGGGACATGAGGAGGCTTACATGATTTGTCTCAAACATGTGGCTAGTTAGTGCTAGAACCATGACCAGAACCCAGATCTGTGGCTTGTTGAATCACATCATGGAGCTTCTATTGCAGGACCATATTATAGGGTGCTGTTATATTGTTATATTTGACTGCTTTCTAGAGGTGATCTAGGAAAAGTCACAGCTTGTGTTCCCTCATCATTAAAACAGTGTTGATGATATTTGCATTACTTCTGTCCTGGGGACAGTATGAAAATCAAACAAGGTAATCTATGAAAGCTCTTTGTAACCATAAAATGCTATATAAATGTAAGCTGTTACTAATGATGATTATGGTGTTCCAAGAATCTTTCTGCTGTCCTGAATAATAAATATTTTTGCTGTGGATCTCTCCCCCTTGAATGATATATAAAGCTTTAGGGGAATTCAGTTTTTGATATGTGTAAAAATATTCAAGTAGCAAAAAAGGTTATTTTGTTTTTGAAAAGCAACAAACTTCAGATTTGTAGTTTTTTAAGGAGTTAAAATCAGTGATATGATTAGGTTCGAAAAGAGTAACCCAATATTAGATTTTCTGCACAAGGGTGGTCCATGTTGCTGGGCAATGTAGCTGGTAAGAAATTCCTACTTCTACCTCTTCCCTAGAAAAATATAAACACTAGTTTACCCCCACTGGCCAGTAACCTAATGTCTCTTTAGGGTAGTCCAGTTCTGAGTATATTTACTGTTATCTTTTTTTCTTTTAAGTAGTATTTTATTTTTTCCAATTACATGTAAAAACAATTATTAACATTCATTTTTTAAATAAAATTTTGAGTTCCAAATTTTCTTCTTCCCTTCCTCCTTTTTCCTTCCCTTCTCTCCTCCCTAAGACAGTAAACAATTTGATATGTTATATGTGTGCTTTCATGTAAAACATATTTCTGTGTTAGTCATGTTGTGAAAGAAGAAACAGAACAAAAGGAAAAAACTACCAAAAAAAATGAAAGTAATATGCTTTGATCTGCATTCAGACTCCATCAGTTCTTTCTCTGGATGTATATAGCATTTTCCATCATGAATCTTTTGTAATTGTCTTGGATTCTACTGTTAATTTTAAAATATAACCTAGGCAAAAATATCATGATGTATGTAGAGAAGTGGTTAAAGGACTTCTAACTTTATTTTTTTACTTTTGTTTGCAGATCAAAAGCATGCATTCCTTATTTGAAAAAGAGTAAAATTGCTCACATCCTAAACCTCAGCCCACCACTAAACCTGAATCCAATCTGGTTCAAACAGCACTGTGGTAAATATTAGAGAAAATAAGCCTTGTTGTTCCTGTTGGTTAATTTATTAAGCTTTTGAATGGCATTAATGAACCTCAAGTAACCTATATATTAACATTTAAGATTGAATTATTTTTATCTGTAGAATAGATGTTGGTTTGGGAAGTTATATCTTCATTAAGAAGAATTGTCTCACAGTGGGTAGAGCACCAGCCCTAGAGTCAGGAGGACCTGAGTTCAAATCCAGCCTCAGACACATAAACACTTACTAGCTGTGTGGCCCTAGGCAGGTCACTTAACCCTGATTGCCTCATCAAAAAGCAACAAAAACAAAAAAAAAAGAAGAATTGTCCCTTACTTGTAACTCTTAAAAGCAAACTTCAGGAGGAAAAGGGGACTTAAAACTTGATAATTCTAGATGTCAGCCTTTGCACTGGCTCTTCCCTTTCCTGGAATGCTTATGAAGTCTTTCTGTGTACCTCCTACCTTCTAGTACTTTCACTTCCAGAGTTATCTGCTTCACATGTGTTTTGTATATTCTAGTTATATATAGCTTCTCTCCTACAATAGAATGTAAATTCCTTGAGAGAAGGGACAATTTCACTTTTGTCTTTGTATGCCTAGTGCCTGGCGCATAGCAAGTACTTAATAAACGTTAGATTGATTGAGACAGGTAAGGGAACCATACCTCAAAAGAGATGATGTGAAATCAAGAGATATGCATTGGCTGTACCCTTGAGGGGAGCTTCATCCTGATCTGAGGTTCAGAGAAGAAAAATGGATAATTTCTATGTCTAGTTCTTAACCAAACTGCCAGGGTACTCTTCTTCATCCCACTAAGTTAGAAAAGATAAACTATTCTTTCATTGAGTTGGCTAAACATTCTCAACCTATCCAAAAGAAATAGAATTACCTTTAATTTTCAGTTTTATTAACTGGAGTGGCTAAACTAGTAATCTTTTAATCCTTGATTATGAATTGTTTTCCTTTGTATGAAGGTGACAGAATCCAGCCTTGAGATAAAAATGATAACCTTTAAAAAGGTATTGCCCTTAGTCTGAATAAGAGGAAATTTTCTTCTTCCCTTACTCTGTTGAATTAATATCCTTCTTACCTCTCCTCCTGTTACTTCTCTGCCTTTTAAACTCGTTCCTTGAAATCTGTACCTTTGACACAACATATTAATGATTTTAGATAAGAATAAGTAATTACTATGGTAGCATCTCCATACTTGGCATAGAAATCCTTGTGATCCTTATTTCATTTCAACTTACATCAGTAATAATTAGCATGGTACATTTCTTTTTAAAAAATTTTAATATTATATTTTTCCCAGTTACCTTTGCTTTTTACAATTTTGATTTCCAAATTATTTCCCACCCTCTATTCACTCCTTCCTCATTGAGAAGGCAAGCAGTTTGATGAAGGTCATATATCTGCTGTCATGCAAAACATTTTCATATTAGTCATGTGAAAGAAAATAGACAAAAAAACAAAAACCAAGAATAATAACAAAAGTAAAAAAATAATGCTTCGATCTGCATTCAGATTCCATCAGTTCTCTGGAGGTGGGTAGAATTTTTCATCATAGGTCCTTCAGAATTGTCTTGGATCTTTGTATTGCTGAGACTAGCTTTGTATGGCTGAGACAGTCACAGTTGATCATCATATATTATTGCTGTATTGTGTACAGTGTTCTCCTGGTTCTACTCACTTTGCATCAGTTCATGTGAGTTTTTCCAGGTTTTTCTGAAAGCAACCTGCTCATCATTTCTTATAGCACAGTAGTATTATCATAGTATATTTCTACTGGGGTATGAATCTATAGGGCTATAAAGGTTGAAACAATTTATATCATAGATTGATTGGAGTGAACAGCTTAGAAACTATTTTCTTAGCCACAGTTTTCCCTAGAATGAGCTATCTTAATTTCTTTATTTGAAATTTTATAGTCAAGAGGCAGCATGAATAGAGACCTGGTCTCTGAGTCAGAAGGACTTGGGTTCAAGTACTGTCTGTGACACATGCTGGTAGTGTGACCCTGGACAAGTCCTTTAACCTCTCAGTACCTCCAAGCAGCACTCTAAGACTAGACATTGCAGAGCATATGCCAGTCTACATTGGTGGGACTTTTACTAGTTTTTTACACTAAAGATACGGACTAAATAAATGAAAATTGAAACATGTGGTCATTAATGTAGCTTTTATAGCAAAGGATGAGAAAAACCATGTTTTTTACAATCCTTTTTAAATTATTCTTTAGAATGTTTCAGTTCAAGTAGTAATAAATATGAACTAGTTCAAAGCCTTCTGAAAAAAGTGTTAAAGATTATCTATTTTTACTTCCAACTCTTATTTTGTACTATTTATATTGTTCAGAAGCCTAAATAGATAGATGTGTCTTAGAAAATGACCAGTAGAAGGAAAGTCATTGTATAACCCTGTGGATTGATTGTCTTTAAGATTTGTTTTTGCTCTTTTTCAGCTTATACTATTGCTAAATATGGTATGTCTATGTGTGTACTTGGAATGGCAGAAGAATTTAAAGGAGAAATTGCTGTCAATGCTTTGTGGCCCAAAACAGGTGTGTTCAATTTTTTTTTTAGTTCAATTTTTAGTCAATTGAGACATTTCTATTCTCAATAGATACTTTGTTGTGGGGTAGAAGGTTGGTTCACCTGTTAGCAAATGAAAATTATCTTAACTTTTGAATCTACCAAATTTTGTGGAGTAGATTGCTTACATCTTTTTCTCTTTTCCAGAGGGTAGTATTTGTTTTGGAGTAGTTTTTTTCTTCTTTTTGCTTTGGAGTGATCTTCTCCTATCCTTGACTTTGAAATATATTGCCATATTGCTTACACAGCATTGAGACATTGTCCTCCCTGGATTTATGTGGCACTACTTTCTCCTGATTTTTCTACCTTTCTGTGCACCTGATTCTTCCAGGTCTTTTTTGTAGGATCATCATGCATGTCTTGCCAACCTAAGTGTCAGTGTACCCTAGAGCTCTGTCTTGTGTGCTCCTCTGTCTCTCTATTCTTTTTCATTGATCTCTTCCGCTCAGGTTCAACTATTACCTCTATGCAAATGACTTGCAAATCTACATATCCAGCCCTCATCTCTCTCCTGACCTGTAGTTGCACATCTCCAGTTGCTTGCGGAACATTTATTTCTATGTGACTTTCCCCATCAACATCTCAAACTCAGCATATCCAAAATTTAACCCATTATGTTTTCTCCTAAACTCTTGGATTTATACAATTATAGATTGAGATCTAGAAGAGGCCTTAGAGGTCATATGTTACAACTTCTTCATTTTTACAGATGAGGAAAGTGAGGCTCATGGGGGGAATTGAATTGCCAAAGGTCACACAGGTGGTAAGGTGGAAAAGCTAGGATCTGATTCCACGTCTTCTGACCTGGATCCGGTGTTCTTTCCACTACACCATGCTGCCTTCCTCTCCTGCTTTTAATTTCTCTTTTTGTCAAAGCCACCAACATCTTCCCATTCACACAAAGGTTCACAGCCTCAGGGTCATTCTCAGCTCTTCACTCTCACTGTCACATCTAATCAGTTGCCAAGTCTTTTTGATTTTACTTCTACAACATCTCTTATATCCATCCTCCATCTCTCCACTTATTCAGTAATTACCCTGGTTCAGCCCTTAAGATTACTTCTTACCTGGAATCTTATAATAATCTTCTTTTGGGTCTTCCTGAGCCTAGTTTTCCCCCTTCCACTCCATCTTCCATGCAGCTGCCAAAATGATATTTTTAAAGCACACATATGACTATGTCACTTTCTCCTTCAGGATACTTTGGTGGCTCCTTATTGCCTATAATTTAAAATATAAAACTGTTGTTTGGAACTTAAAGCCCTTCCCAGTCACTGCAGCCTCTTTGCATCTTTATTACATATTACTCTTTTTCATCCTCTCTCTGCTCTAACCAGATTGGTTTGCTTGCTCTTCCTTGTACACAAATTCCACCTCCTGTCTCCATGCCTTGTCCTCCATGCCAGGAATGCTCTCCTTTACCTCAGCCTCTTAGAACCTCTAGCTCTAAGGCTTAGTTCAAGAGCCTGTGTCTGTAAGAGACCTTTAATAATTTTCCCAGTTGTTAGTGTCTCTTTACACACACCCTGAAATTACTATGTATTTATTTTGCATATATATTGTATTTACTTATCTTTGAATATGTTTTATTCCCTTTTCATCTATGTCCCCAGTCTCTAGCACAACACGTAGCATATGTACTTAATAATGAATGAATGAGTACATGAATTAAATTACTTTTAGAGCTTTAATTATATTCTTGTAGAGCCAAGTCTGGTGAGAAAGGAAGGTGAAAAAAACCAGGTAATGTCTCACTGTCTTTGACTATTCTTAGTCTGGAACAAGTTCAATACTGGTCTAGATACACAAGTTCTGGAATTTTTTTTTTATTTTGATAGACATTAGAATGAATACTTTATTCTGTACATTTGAGGATGACAGAATGAGGTTATAGTCAAATAAATCACGTACTTATGGAAAAAAAAAAACCAGTTCTCTTGTTCTGATTGTAGCCAACTCTCCATTCATTACCATTTCCAGATTCCTCATTAATATTAAATGATTTAATCAACCCTTAGAATTGGTATCACATAAATATAACCATTGATTGTCTTCAAATGGGAACTCCTCAGGCTTCCATATCAGCATATTAATAATCTACTCAATCTTTTGGTTTTTATCCATACACATCTCTTTCGTTCACTGCTCACACAAAAACCATTCTAGCTCTGTTGGTCGGCTCCTCTTGCCAGGACTAATGGAATAACTTCCTACTTGGTCTCCCTGAACTGTGTCTCTAGTCTTTTCTTTTCTGGTTTTTTTTTTAATGAGATAATTTACCCTGTTCTACTTCTCCCTTTCTCCTTCTCCTAGTATAATCCTCTCTCA